TTGACACCCCTGGACTAGGAAAATCCTAACAACCATCAGGAATTTCTGTGTAACATATCTTTTGTGAAGGTAAGGGCTGAGTCAAATGATTGTGAATTCAGATTTTTCTTGAACCAGGAATTATTTTTAGGTCAGTGAGACTTTTACAATTTGGGTGAAATAATGTAAACCATGGAGTCCTCACTTAGTGACAGTTCAAAGTTGCAATAGCATTGAAAAAGGTGACTTAGGACCAATTTTCACATTTATGACCATTACAGAGTCACATGATCAAAATCTGGGTGCATGTATTTATTTAAAATATATATATATATATTGCCACCTATTTGCACATGGCGACTCAAGGTGGCTTAATTGTTTATGATAATTGCACTGTCCCAGGTTCATGTCACCATTTGTAACCTTCCTACCCAGCTGCCCACAAGCAGAGTTGATGGGGGAAGCCAGATTCACCTAACAACACAATTCGCTTAACAACTGCAGTGATTCATTTAACAACTGTGGCAGAAAAATAAAAAAAATGCTCATAACTCAGCAGTGACAATTTTGGGCTCAGTTGCGGTTGTAAGTTGAGTACTCTCTGTATTGGTGTTCTTTAAGGTTTGTAGATAATATACTTAATGTGCTTTGAGCTACAGAAGCTGTTCTATGAATATGAAGTGCTGTATTTATTAATTTTAATTTTGCTTTCTTTTTGGCATGACCAGATAAACAGATTATACAAGAAATACCTTATTTTGCAAGATAAATTGGTGTTAAAAGAAGAAACGAAAGGAATCAGACTCCACATTTGGGTGCTTTCACTCCTCAGCTCCAGTGGATAAATCTCGACTGTCCTCACTCTTGCCCAAAGAAGAAGATGCCTGTGATAATTGATCAGCTCCAGATAAATGAAACAAGGGGTAGGTAGAGTATTGTTAAAGCCATTGATCACAGCTACCCAACAGTTTAATCTCGTGGAGGGGGTGAATATTAGCTTGTGGTAGCTTTGCTGTGACAGGGCAGGATAGACATTCTGCTACCTCCTTCCTCGTTGCCAAGGCCAGAATAACAGAGTTTGATGTGGGGTGCAACTCTGCTTATAGTTTCTATAGTGATGGAACTGTCTAATCCAGAGACGTTCTAGAGCAGGGCTGGCAACTTCCTGGCCCGTGCGCTGGATGCATCATGCGCTGGCCATGCCCATGCCTGGTTTAGCGAAGGGGGGGAAAGTCCTGATACGTCACGTGACAACGTGAGTTTGACACCCCTGTTCTAGAGAAACTCCTTTGGCTCCATCACATTTTCATAGCTGGTGTGGAAATTTTGATTGCTCAAAACTAGAATAGAAGTTGGTTGTGTATGTTGTAGGCTAATTGCTTCATTATGTAGATTTATTACTGTAGAATGCTCTGGATTTTTTTTTTTTTGTTGTTCTTTGAATAGTGCTTCCTAGAAATGCTGTAGACATCCTGTTCAAGGGAAGGTGGCCCAGGTTGACATGATTTTCACATTTTTAGCAGCTGGATCCGAATCCCTTTCAGGTCTACAGTAATGTGATTGTACACTATTTTGACCAATAACCGAGGAGACAAAATAAGAAAAGGTGGATTGATTTTGGTCACTTGAACTTTTCCCATCTTGGGAGGTGCCCTGAATTGGCCCATTTAGAATTCTTGATATCCCTGTCAACTTTGAAGCATGTCTATGTTGACGCAGCCATCTTTTCGTTTCTCAGCTTGCCACGCAGTATTTTTTTTGGAGGTGGGATGGGGAGAGAGGGAGGGGTTTGGAATGTTAGCCCAGATAACAAGAAGAAGAGGTCTTATTGTGAGAACCAAGGTCATCTCAATGGGTGTTTGCCAGAGACTTGAAGGAAGTGACCATGGAGACACCAGAACACCTAATTTGGACAATGTGACCTGTGCTAAGGAGGGGAGGGAAATATTAATTATGCGAAAATTGCAGGAAATAGGTAGAGTTGGTGTTGCTTCACGCGTGCCGAAATGATGTACTCAATAAAGTTATGCTGAAAGAGATCTGATCTTCTCGATTTTGCTGGCTTGCTTGGATTCATCAATCTGGCTTCCGATACCTTTAGATGGTTCATTGGCAGTCGGGCCATCCATTTCTTGGCTTCTCAGCTCTTGGCTGTCCAGATCCTTCCCAGTCCTGCTGTGCTTGTTGGTAGGATGTCCACTACTTCAATACCTTTGTTGGTAATACGACCGGTTGCTTTCGTGGTGTGGAGACAATAACTTGGTCCTCAACACCAATAAGACCAAGGAGGCTTATAGTGGACTACGGAAGGAACAGATCAGACATCCAGCCCTTGCTTATCAATGGAGACTGAGTGGAGCAAGTGGCCAGTTTTAAGTTTCTGGGTGTTACCATAAAAGAGGACCTGACCTGGGGTGCCCCCATTGCAGCCCTGGTCAAAAGGGCCCAGCAGAGATTATAGTCCCTGAGACTTCTCAGAAAACAACAACTGAATGAAAAACTGCTGGTGACCTGCTACTGCTGCACCACAGAGAGTATCTTAACTTACTGCCCCTCTGTATGGTTTGCCAATTGCACAGTGGCAGATAGGAAAGCACTCCAGAGGGTTAATGTCATTGCCCAAAAGATCACTGGTTGCCCTCTCCCCTCTTTGGAAGAGCTTTATAGCTCCCGCTGCCTTAAGAAAGCTCAAAACATTCTCAAAGATCCATCTCATCCTGAGAACCCTTTTTTTGAACTGTTACCATCTGGCAGATGGTACAGAATAATAAAAACAAGGACAAATAGGCTGAAAAACAGCTTCTATCCCAGGGCAGTAGCTCTTTTAAATTCTGCTGTATAGTGCAGTGTTGGTGCGGTGTCGGGGGTTTTCGGTTCAATGTGTGAAGGGTGAAGGATGTGTGTTTGTGTTTATTTTCATGGTCATGGTGTGCACTGAAGATGGTGTTTGATTGTACGAGGTGCAATGACAATAAAGTAAACTAAACTATTGACTTTTATTTGAAGTGAAACCTCTTTGAATTTCAGAGGAGGGGCAGATAGCCCTCAACTTACAACCATTTATTTAGTTGCAACTGCACTGAAAAGAGCAACTTTTTCATGCTTACGACCATTGCAGGATCCCCACAGTCACATGATCAGAACTTGGCTGCTTGGCAACCAGGGCCGCAAGGTCAATGCGGGAAGCCAGAGTCACTTAACAGTTGTGTTATTAAATTAACCATTGCAGTGATTCACTTAACAACTGTGTCAAGAAAGGTTGCAATATGGGGCAAAGTTCACTTATCTGCCTTGCTTAGCCACAGAAATTTTGGGCTCCGTTGTGGTT